CACTGCAAAAATCAAGTTTATTGAAAGTGATTATAACTGAAAACTCAGTAAAATAATAATCGTAATTCGCGAAAGAAAAATAGCTTAAAATACTTCACTACGCAATGTTGAGGAAAGTAGTAAAATATGATATAGTATCTGGAATATAATTTATACAGTGATTATGTGTTTAACTGAATAATAACGACAGTTCCGAGTATAATATTGTTATGAAAATTGTCTCGTGTAATGATATTTTAAGAGGTGTCTGTTAAAATATATTGTATAGATGCGTTCAATTTATGTAGGTGTTAGATTCATCGCTTCAATACTTGATTCGCGATATTTTTACGAAGCAAAATGAAGATGGAAAGATAAACTAAATATGACACTGAAGCATGCTATGTACGTTACATTGTTGATGGACAATAGCAAAGGCATACCGTGCTTTGTTTTAACATCTCGTTCCATCGTAATTCTCCAAGTAGCGCATAATTCCGCTTTGTGATAAATATTGGAATTTTACGGCTACTTGACATGTCATTATCAAGAAACTGTGCCAAACTGATTTCAAACGAAATTAATATAAAATATGAATATTCACTCGTTATTTAGTAAAATTAACAATAATGGAATCAATTTTGAAACGTTAGTCCCGATTGCGCGAACTTTCTAGTACAAACTAGTCACTTTTTCTGCCTTTTTTACGCTCAGTTACCCTCTACATTTAATTATTTCTAGCATGAATAATCATCGCGGACGAATTGCGCTCCATTTTCTGTGACAGTTTAAAGCGATTTCGAACTCGGCATGAAGCAAGATCGGAAAACAGTTAGCAGACAAAACTGCCGGGAGTTGGTGACGCGAAGAACATTTAATGTAAGGAATCGGTCGTGGAAGCAAATATAATATTCGGTGGAAGGGCCACTATTGAATCGGGGCGCGGGCCATTGCGCGATATCTATATCTCAGATTTAGCACGCTATGATCCTACGGCACACATACACCATGTATGTACATCGTGTTACCCACGGTATAGACGCGTTTATAAACGTCCGTCTGTTGTACACACATAAAATAGTTACGTATCCGCATGTGCGCAAAGTACGAAAGCCACCGTCCAATCACTTCGACGAAGAAATAAAGGTAGAAACATATATTTGTTACTCTTTGTCGCGACAGTCTTCAAACAAACACGAAAAGCATCTGCGACTAACGATTAGGATTTGGAAATTGTCAGCTTATTAGCGATAAAGTATACTATTAACGAAATGGCGGGATGACAAAATCGACATTATAAAAAATGACGAGACGGACAAAACTAGGAATTAGCGAAATGTATTTTTATTTCAACGCTGCTTCATCCGTGCCGTTTCGCCGTGGAACCATCTATGATGCTTAAATGCGAACGGTCTGGTCGCACCTGGTTGCAGCATTCAGAATGTCGGTTCCATCGGTTACGAAGGAGAGAGACGGATTGAACGGATTCTGATAGAGCACGGGAAACGGCGACGGGGGAGGCAGGGAGGGCGCAAGAGGACAGAGAGATCGAGGACGTCGGGTCACCATAGGGGTCGCAGTATGTAGGCTAGTTGGTAAAGGCAAACGCGAACAATTTGCCGTAATAATCCGATAACTGATAATATTGGCAATTTGGCTGGGGACTAAACGGATCTCGCGGAGTGCCGCTGCGTGCGTTATCTCGATTATTGTTATTGTCCGTGGTCGTTAGACGAGGAAGGGATTTCGATCGGTTGTCGCAAAGTGTCCAGTCCTGCGGATACTTTCCCCGCTCTTCTTCGCGAGCGGTTTTATCATCTCCGAAAATCTATTTCCGAAACAAAGCGAAGGAGGTCCTTAGAGTTTTGCGATGTTTTGCAAAAATTATAAAATTGAGAGATAAATTACGAACAGCATTTGCGTAAGAGATATTATTCCTTTGTCGTTCAGCGATGTTCATGCTGAAATCGCGAGCATTACGTGTTTTAGCACATTTGTTCCTTTTCAGTTACTACTTGTATCTTTTACTTATTGTGTGTCAGAGCTGTGCATCGTAAAATTCGATACTGTAATTCGGGCTTATTACTCCGAGGTACGATGAGCGCACTACGAAAACTAATGAAATTGCTGAATCAGCAATAATGGGAACTGCTTTGGCCGGAAACTGAATCGGTTGGCAATAACCGTGTCGATTTATTTACTCGATTATTCGCTGGAAGCAAGATTATTCGCTGGAAAAGCTTAGATATGCAATTCGGTTATTCGTTTTATGGCGTTTTATAATAAAACAATTACAAGAATGATGAAAATAGCTCGCATCGAGATATAAGCGACGAAAAATAGCGCAGGAAATGAATCGGACTTAATTGGGTTCGAGCCTTAAATGCAGAATCTACGTAAATGCAAATGCGAGCTGTGTCGGTTCGCGGTGGAGCCAAAATCGGATCGGGAAAATTAACGAAACAGGTCGATCGACGCTCCGGGGGCCTCGAGATCCGCTTTGTGCCATGGGGAAAATCACATTCCGAAATATCTCCCCCTTGGTGTATCGTCCTCACCAATGTCTGTCCATCAGCGGAAACGGAACGAACCACGAACGCGCGATCATCTCGAGGAATCTCGACTCCGACGGCGCGGCGAGACGTGCCTTCGAAGTTCGCCGGAAGTGGTTTCGGGGTGATTGATTTCCCACATCGAATCGTCGGTGCACAGAGGTGGGTTTTAGAGAGAGGGGACGAGCGGGCCGGCGAGCGGTATCGGGATCGAGAGATTCTGCGGGTTACCCGTGGAAAATCGTCGAGCACGCTCAAGTATGAGCGAGCTGACTGATTAATCGCGGCTGACGCTCATTAATCGGCAATGACTTAAATGTTGGTGTGGGATAAGATAAGCGACGATAACTTTTTATCGCGTTTTCATTGTGGGTTTCATCGCCGGAAATGTATCTGAAATATCGACGTGTGTGCCAGCTATAATTCTCGTGGAATTTTGTCATGTGGATTGCAGAATCTCTACACACACAGAACAAATTTCCGGATCCGATGCTATTACACTTCAATGTATCATAAAATAGGATCGATGTAGCGTCAATATTTATTATAGAGAAAGGAATATTTTAATCTTAAATTAAAAATTCTAAAATCTAGAATAAAATGATAGTATTTATCGTATTTTGTCGAATGTCGTGGTGTCAACTTCGTGCGTTGTAAGATGGAGGAAAAATTTATTCCAAACGCAAGAATATACAAACTTACATTTATATAAGTTACTCTTGTCTCAATATAGTAAGTCAATCTTTTTTACTTCGATAGAGGAGAATAAGAATTAATGATTTTATTTTGATATTGTCTTATTTTTATACTAAATGAGGTCGTGAGAAATATAAATGGGTCAAGAATATTTTTTGTCTCGGTAACAGAAATCTTTCCTGAGGATGTATGCGCGATAAAATCTCATTAGAACGAAACTCGTCGAGCATAGGAAAGCATAAGGCTGCCGTCTGTGAAATTGATTTGTATCGATCTACGTGTATTAGCGTAGACGCGTATCAGTACCCGGGAAAAAATGTATATATCTAATCATATCTGAATATACCTGACTCAGATACAAGCAGATACGAATTTATTCCTAGCCAATCATATACAACGTAAATCTGAGTTAGATATCGTCTGATAACACACAAATATGGTCGAAATATTTAAAAGAATTATTTTAATACTTTATAAATATTTAACAATATACATGATCTTGTATGATCTATTCAGATCTAGTCAGACAGTTGTCTTAATAATCTGAACATTTAGTTGAATGCTTAAAATTAAAATCCATAGCAAATACAATTGAGCGAATTATTTATGTTTGTAGCAGCCCGTGACGTTAACGTTTAATTCAAACAACTTAATTTTTTTAATTCAACAGCATTTTTTTCCCGTGTACATTTTTCTCGGGTAGCTAATATTAAAAGAAATAACATTGTTAGAATCTTGTCATAAGACAAGACCTTAATCTTAGAAATTGCATTTTATTCTTTTTTCCAGCCAATATCATTATTTACTACTATTCTATATTTCCTGTGGAGGAAAATGTCGAGGTATCCTGCTACTAGGAACAGCGCGAATTTCGAGAGAAAATGAAAATTCGATAAGTCCTAAATTCAACGCTGGAAATCCGTTATTGTTGATCCGCTAATCCGTCGGATGAACTGTGCGATTGAATACCGCCGGGAACAAATGTGAAGACCGTTGATTAAGAAACCGATCTTTCAGCGGTTTCAATTTTTCAATTGGCAACACGTTATTTCGCAAATACACGTCGGCCCTTCCGATACCCATTTATCAATTGATTGATCGATATACAGTCTCGACGAATCGTTTATACAACTCGATCGCGTTCCCGCATTACGGGACGCGCCGCAGTTATAACGGATGCTGATAATGCCCAAGAAACGAATGTCATTGGTCGCAATAATCCTCGGTGGATGAAAGGAGCCGCTCTGTATATACTTCGAAATCAATTTATCGATGTCGTCTCGATATCAGTCCTCCCGCTCGCGCCGCGCTCGGGCTTGTGCGCCGTGGAACGAGAGAGCACCGAGTGGCAGGTAGCGCGAGTGCAACGAATACCACCGTCGGCCGATTCACCTGGCGCAGGCGCGCCGGCGCTCCCCTCGTTCCACCCTCTGCGCCCCGCCGGGCCACCCCCTGTCCCCGAGGGAGAGCCGACGGAGACGGCGGACTCGTTCGACGAAGACGAGTCGAGTTTCGGGTGCGGGGTCGACTGACAGGCCGTACCGTGCTTCAGTCGGCCGGCGAACTCGCGTGCCGAGCCTTCGCGCGTCCGCGTTACGTTCCTCCCTCTTTCTCTCTCTCTCTCTCTCCCTCTGTCTCTCTTTTTCTCGCCGTCCGCCCTCCGGTGCATCCGGCGCGCACCGCGAGCGTCCGAGGACGTTTCGCCGCCCCCTGATCCGCGTCGTTTTCGCCGACTCGCGCGCGTCTCGCGGTCGTCCGGACGCGCTCGGGAGAGATGAGGAGGCCGCCGAGTGCTCCGTCCTGAGGTGGCAGCGTGGGTCCCGACCGTGTTCGCCGGATAAAGGGACGTTTCTCCGCCGCGAGACGAGCGTTCGCCGGCGATCGTCGCCGGGACGGACGATGACCTGACTCGGGCACTCGCCGGGTGAATAGTGCACCAAGTGGGATTCGAGGAAGTGAATGTGCAGTGTCCGCGCGCGATGCTCAGCTCGTCGAGCGGTGTTCGAGAGTATCTCCGAGAACCCGGCCGGTGAACGTGGTCGATCCAATTTATCCCGTGCCGAACGTGCACGTTTCCGCGAGGCTCCGTTAAATTACTCGGAACGCCGGCGTAGGGAAGCACCCGGGGGCCGTGCGTTTAGGTGTTGCCGCCGAGATACTCGCCAGGTGCCGAGGTAGAGTGCAATTTTTCCCGGTATCTCGAGCGGCATTTGAACAAGCGTTACGAAAGATCAGGAAGTCGCGACCCGTCGGAGTTTACCGGGATCATTGGCGGACTCTTTAGCGGGGAATCCACCGATGAGCCGAGAGAAGTGGAAGAATTGCTCATCACGCTCCGCTAAGTCACCGTCACGTACCAGACGCTCAGGCCAGGCTCCCGGTCAGCAAGTCCAGGACGCCGTACGTGACGAGTCATCCGTGAAAACATATCAGTGAAATATCAGTGAGGCAGTGCATCACGATCCGCCAAGATTCGTCACGTATCGTATCGGTAAAATTCCCGGACCGAGAGCTTCCGCGCGTGACAAATCATTCGGGAAACATATCGTTGACTCCGGGGCGAGATCGCGGGGGAGGATCCAGGAAGCGGGCGGATCAGTGAAATCCTACGCTGACGCGGCGAGGCGATCGTTGAACGTGTTCGCAACATATCCACGGGTCCGCTCTCTCTCTTTACAAGCGAGCGACGTATCATCTCTCCGTCGCGAGAAATATAATATAGTGCCGCCGCGAGAGTCTCGCGAGCCTTTACGAGCGCGTGGGATCGATAGTCGCCCGCGATAGCCATCGTTTTCCGACGGCCTGCATTGTTTCGCCCCGGGTGGTGGAAAAAAAATATGCCGTCTCCCGGCACGAGTACGCGGCGCCGCGACGCGCGCGGCAAGTAGTACGAGCGGACATTGGCGCGACGCGGCACGACTCGACGAGTGTCACAGACCAGATTTGCAGTTTTGCTAATAGCATACGACTACGTCGCGCGTCGCCGCTACATCGAGTGGAATTCAATCTTTGCCCCTGTGTAGTGCCGGCGAAAACGTACGGCCGAAACGGGACGGACTGCGGTAGGATCGAAGCTCGTTAATTAAAGGCCGACGGGAGTCGGGACGAGGAGCGCGAGCCACCAGGTAAATATTTCCCGAGGCCACATGGCGAGATCGCAATTTCACGCTGCGCCATTTTTCTCCGTCTTCGTCACGATGACGGGAAAGGGAGGGGAAAAAAAGGGAAAAGAGGAGACTGGATGCTTTTCCGAGGTGTCGTTCCGCGCTAATTCGAGGAGGAGGGCGGGATTTTCCGAGAGCTCGAAGGGCGAGAAGTCGCTCCCCCCCTCTCTCTCTCTCATTTTCAACGTTACACGTCATCGTGCGTGTTGCGTTGTATCAAATCCCTTCGCGGGGTCTCGCGATTCGGAGCAAGACGATTCCCGGAGAGTGATGTGGGGGTACGCGGGTGGTACCAAATCTCCTTTCGTTTCTCTTCCGCGTACGAATTTCCGGCGACGTACGTTTACGGCTTCCGCGATCGTTTCGCTTCACGCGAAATTGGATTATCGACCTACTGTAATAGTCCTCCGGCACCTTCTCGTCGGAGGACAAGGACACGTGCTCGGGATCGTCCTCCTCTCAATTATGTTTTCCGAGCTCGCGAAACATCGGGCGCGAAAGAATCGGATTTTCGCGGCGAAGATCGAGCTACGCGGCTTTCTTTGCCGAACAATTACATTCCTTTCGATTGCGTATCCTCTTGTTTTATCGAGAAAGAGATTGTCTTTTTATTAATTTGCCAGCACGCGATGAATTTTCTGCCGTTTTGTTGCTTGTCGCAACAAAACCTTTTTCCCAATTAATTGCACTTAAAATTTACACCGCATTTCGCGAGTTAATTTCTTCATTTTGGTTTCCGACACATTAATTCGTTGTTCACGCGCGCAATGGAAAATTTACGCGAAAGGAATATCCGCTCGTCCGGCGCGCGCGGAGCCACCGTGACACCTGCTCTCTATATTTTTCGCGACTGTGCAATAAATAGCGTTTTGTTGATTGCGCGTGCTCTCGGAACTCTCGGTGACCCCACCAATAATACCGTGACACAAATAATACCGTCGTTACCGCTCGAAAAATGGAATACAAATCGCCGGGATTTAGGGAGGCACCGGGCGCCGTGTCAAATTTATTAGCCGCGCCGGCAACGTTTCCGTTCGCTTGTTCGTTAAAGAGCGCGCGAAATTGGCGGCCGGTCAATTTTATTAGACCGAACGACGCCGATTCGATTTGACGCTTTGTTGATCACTCCTGGTGGTGGTGTAGCCCTCGCTTTTACCTCTTGCACTTGCTTTTTTATATCGATACAATTGACTGACGGAGTGACATTCGGCTGCCGGTCACGAACGGTAATAGACGTGATCAGGATTTTACGGTCAGCAGTGATAACCGACAAATCTTCCGTAAGGCCGCCGCAACACGCTTACCCTGAAAAGCGGAGAGGTCAGGGTTGATATTATAGTCTAAAGTTTGACATAACCGTGTCGAGGGTTACGTTTTAGGATTTTCCACTGCATTCACGGCCATGACGGGTCACCGGTGTGATCGACACTGCGGTTTTTTTTGTTTATATTTCGCCGATCATTATCGGTGATTGTGATGTGGCACTGTCAGAGAAATGTCATATATTTTTATACAACTCAATATGCCAAGGGGAATTTAAAAAAAAATCGACCAGACTGATAAAACTGGTGAGCTTTATTTTAGTCGCGACGTTTCGACCTCTTTATCGGGTCCTTTTTAAGTACAATCTGGAAACATTACAAGTGCTCAAACCGCAATATAGAAAAGGAACGCTTTGGTATATTTATGGACGGAAAATACCAAAGGTGACTGAACACTTTAATTTATGCTGAAACAGAATGGGTTCATGAGTCTGTGGCAGCAAATTCATAATATCATATCTGAAATTGTTACAAGTGAATAACTAGTTAGTGATTTTTGTAGTTAGAGAAATTAATAAATTAAGAGTAGGAGCCCAAAAAACAGTTAAAGGAATAAGATAATAAGTTAAACAAATTTGACACCAAATAATAAATTAAGTATTTTACGAGGGGGAAACCGCTGACCAAAGTCTTATACACCAATGCCCACTAATGCCCAACGGGCATTACTTTATCTTATTATCTTGTTTTATCTTATTTTATCTTTACAATGCCCAAATTAATGCCCCAAAAATGCCTAGTAATGCCCAGTAATGTCGCAAATCTGTACACCACAATGCTCTCAGCGGTTTCCCCCTCGGTATTTTATAAGGGGATGCTGAAGTGATTGTACTGAAGTGATTTAATGCATCTTTTGCATTAAAAACTCTCAATTCATGAAAACATTTGTGTAATATACAAATTACTGCTGGTCTGCACACAAATGTTTTCACGAATTGACAGTCCCAGGAGCAAAAAGTGCAGAATCACTCTAGCATCCCCTTAATATCATTTAATCCGGCGTGAATGATCAGCTTGAATGTATTAAATCGTCGATTGAGATTAACAACGACTTCAGAGGCATTGGATATTGCTCGTGAATATTGCAGGAATATTACAGGAATTTGTTAATATTCAGGAAGTATCGACCAATATATGTGAATTTACGCCGAGAATCGGCGGCTCTCGGAGTTTTTTTTTCCATCACGCGTCGCCGTTAATTGCCAAACGCGCTAGAATAGGGAAATTTCAGTAACGCGGTATGATTTATCGCAAACCGTGATTTGTTTCCGATTTTTCATTTCACTTCTATTCGCGATTTGAATATATAACTCGTGGCTACCGCTCCCTACCGTTAAATAACAAAACGCGGTGGCAATTAATTTCCGGAGCAGTTTGGCCGGTGTATCAATTTCAAACGTATTACACGCAGAAACGTAAAGTAAGGCGTCGCCATATTTCTCCCCGCCGTTTGGCAACAGTCCGGCATAAATTTGGCATAAACCACAATTAGGCTTTTCACTTCATTTTGAAGCGCGATACTTCGGGCCGACGTTGCACATGCCAATTTCAGCTTTCTGCGTCGGCTGCGCCAGTCGGTTAAACAAAACTGCGCGTTTTAATGGGATATCGATAATTGCAAATTTACCGCGTAATTTGGCAAAAGGCGAAACGCCGGTGTTAATTCGGTGACACGACGTCACTTGGTTAGCGCCGACGTGGAAGTAACGCGATCGATGATAAACGCGGGCCCCGCGTCGAAATCCTGGTGAAAAGCTCGGAGGAAGGGGCGGGAGGGAGCTGCCGCGCAGCTATCTCGCCGCAATTTCGTACATTACCGGTCTTAATCGCAGGAAAGTTTACCCGGAAGCTTCCACGTTGCAGCTTAAGTTCGCGCGATATCGGCCGGATCGATTGGCACGCCACGTTGTTGTAACGATGACGCCTGTGTGATAAAGTCCCGATTGGCCGGGGAAACTCGCAGCCAAACTGTAATGAGGCTCGTCGGGGATCACTCGGTAAATCATGATCTCGATCGCGCGATCCTTTGACCCTACCCGTCCGGAGTCATCACTCGCGATGACACTGCTCGGAAGTCTGTGCATCTGCTGGAAGAGTGTTTCCAAAATTGAACGCCGCTGAGACTAACGTAAGATAACGAGGCTTCTCGTGGCGCGTTGACACCGTGTTTTACGACAATTATTATGGAGCTTAATCAATTATTAACGAATTTTTCAAGAGAATCGATGTTTTAGCGAGATTATCGAGGTCTCTCTCTCTCTCTCTTTCTTTCTCTCTGTCCATTTTATTTTTAAATATATGAATATTAGATCTAATAAAGATATTAGATGAATCATAACAATTTTATATATACATGTTAGATCATAACTGACTTATCTGGGACATCTGTTAAATAAAATTTCGGTGCAGAAAGGTATAGAAATAGTACAATCTTATTACTCTTGTAATTTAGAAGATGTGAAAATTTCACCTCGACACACATCCATGACTGTAAAATCAATATCGCAAGGCGCTACTGGTAAAAGGTATTTCACGTTTAAATTGTAGTAGAAAGTACTCACTTTCGTGCCGCTTATCTCTTGAAGTTGATGCATACGTGCTCCTGTTATTTTTTTCTCTTACTGTTGTCAAGCAAAGTATCGACGTAATATGGCGCGGCATTAGTAGGATGGATTTTATTAATCTCAGCAATATTAAATCCTGTTCAACAGTTTTTCTCATCATTATTGGTCTGTTATTCGCTTCCTTTTAATCCTTATCTTACGATTTGTTCCACGATACTGAAGCACGCACAGTCGAGATCAAAAGAGACGTTTAATTAAATATTTAATATTCTATTAGAGCGGTCTAAGTTTTCTCGCTCCTTTTATTTAAACGCAGCAAGACATCATTCTTTAATTAATTATGTTTTCTTACTATTCTTTTTAAATGATATGTGCTGTGTGCATCCGGACTTTTGTCCCTCTACGTTCATCTCAGCACAGTCGTTTTCCTTCGCGCAATGCATAAGGAGAAATGTGCTTTCGTTCACGTGACCTCCATTGCATATTTATTACCGCGCCACATCTTTTTAGATCGATTATTCGGTAATTTCGTTCTTCGCTTTTGCGTAAAATTATCTACCGCAGCGATCTCACTTCATTTTATGGTACGTTTATTTTTCTAAGCTGCTCGCCGAGCTATAGAGATGCGACAGAAGTAAGTGTTCTTCGGGCTCTGTTTACGACTGTGCGAAGTTCTCGGCAGAGTCCAGTAGAATTATTCGGGCCAAGAAACCGGAACCGCGTTAGCACTCCGACGTTACTTGTTAACGGCGCAACTCGTAACTTCGGACAATTATTCAGTGGTGTAATTGGTCCGCCCGAGATCTTCGGACCGCGTAACTCCTGTAACTAAGAAACAGCTCTGGGGGGAGGGGGGGGAGTAGGTTGTTTTTGATCTCTCTAACAGGTTCATACCCTTTAATTAGTCTTTTTACGAAGTCAATTAATAATGTATTCTTATTGTAACTTTCCACCGAAAGATTTATACAATTAAGGGAAGTTTGATGAGTTTTTATATATGAAAGAACTCTTTTTTTTTATCTTCTCCGGTCCTAGAAATCTTTTATTTAAAGAAAAAATGTATATAACTTGCCTG